TGAAAGTGCCATGGGCTGTCAAAAGAACCAATAGATCCGTTTTGGAAAAAGTGCAGCCAGAGTGCTCCTTGAGGGCAGGATGGCCAAACTTGGTCTCTCATACTTTGGACATATTGTTGGGAGGGGGCAGTCACTGGAGAAGGATATCATGTGTGGTAAGGTGGAGGGTCAGAGAAAAAAAGGAAGACCCCCAATGAGATGTATGGCCAAGTGTCAGTATCGATGGACTCAAGTGTGGCAACAGTAGTGAGGTTGGCCCAGGATCGGGCAGTGTTTCGTTCTGCTGTGCATTGGGTCACTATGGGTTGGTAACTGACTTGATGGCACCTAACAACAACAACAATTTATACTGATGGGGTTCTAGTGTGGTGCTATAGGATCAGCATTGGACTTTTAACTGCAGGATCCATGGTTCAAACCCACTAGCCACTCCTCAGAAACCCTATACAGGGTCACTATGAGTCACAATTGACTCAACGGCACTTAACAATAACAACAACAAAGCTAATTTTTGTTTTCTAGCAATAACATACAAGAGATTTTTCCATATCAGAATATATGTTGTTGTTGCTGTGAAGTGCTGATGAATCAGTCATGACTCATAACATCTGGTGGGTGTGAACCATTGACCTTGCTGTTAGAAATCCAGTGCTTATCCTGCAGCGCCACAGAATAGTGTATATGGGTCCATTTGTTTAATTTTATTTTATGCACACAAAGACTTAAAATTTTTCATGGAAAAATGTGATTAAAAAACAATGAAATTTTTCCATGAAACTTTGGAAGCCACCTTATATGTTGGCATATAGTAGGGTTTGTTTGTTTTTTTTTAAGTTTTTATTGTGAATTGAGTGATACTTTACATGGGAGAATATCAGCTTTACATTCATTCTATCGCATTTTGTTTCACTGCAATGATTTCAATCCCACTATGCATCATCATTCAACAGCATTTGCCTCCATTCCCTCTAGGTTTTTTGTGTTTTTTGAGGGGTGGGATGTACACTGAAGCACTCAGGAACATAAAACCATTCAAACAACCAAAGAGTACATCCCACAAGCCTGCCCACCTACCCCACCCCCTGGCTGTCAACACACAGCCCCTCTCCTTCCCTGAGTCCGTGTCCCCAGCTGCTCCATCTCTCCACATCATCATCTCTGCCTCCATCTCTGGCATCATTACTTCTCTGGATAGTGTCCCCCACTCTGCTGTTCTCCCTTGATGGTCCCAAGATCCTCCACTCCTGGACTGCAAGATTAATCACTCCCCTCCTTTTGTTACAAAACGTCTACCTTTACATTTCCAACACTCACAGTCAGTCCTGATAGCAATTATTCACTATTGAACCAAAAGCGTCTTATCCCCATCTCCTTTCATCAGTCCCACCCAGACAGATTGAATACTACTCAGTTGAGATTTTACCTTCCCCCATACCCTGTGGAACTAGGCTTCCTCTTGAAAGCTTGTAAGCCAGTCACTTCTTGCCTTTGTAACATCCCCATTTTGGGTAGCCAATGTCTAAGTTGCCCATCGCAGTCTACCCTGTGTACCAAGGGGATGGGCATGATCCTCGCTGTAAAGATTAATTCTCTCTTTTGAGCTAATAAGGGGTTGTTTGTTTTGTTTTAAGAAATATACCCAAAGACTGTTACACAATTTTTTTGTTTGTTTCAGACTGGAGTTAGTGTTGAGGAAAGAGGAAACTTGTTTTTATAGTTTGTTTTTATTTTGGTGTTCTGGTGTGGCTCTGTGGGTAAATGCACTGGACTGCAACATTGGTTTGAACTGCAAATTTGGCAGTTCAAGCTCACTAACTGCTCTTAGGAAACCCTATACAGGGTTGTTATGGGTTGGAACTGACTCTACGGCACTTAACAACAACGACAACCTTTATTTTATACCTCTGGTGCTATTTGAACTCTGTCTAGTGCAAGTGTTACAATTACTTTAAACCAATAAGTGATTTGGGAGAGAACCAGCTAATTAAATAAATAATACTTTGAATATAGTTAAATAGTCTCTATTGTTAAACTGGTAAAGATTTTGAATGTGTAGTAAGCACAAGTAAATAACATGATAAAACAAAAGACCAAGCCATTTGCTGTTAAAGCAACTCCAACTCCTGTCAAATCCATGTGTGTCAAAGTAGAACTGTGCTAATTAAGGTTGTCAATGGCTGATTTTTCATAACTTAGATTGCCAAGCCTTTCTCCCAAGGTGCCTCTGGGTGATCTCAAAGCTCCAGCTTTCTGGTTAGCAGCTATGTGTGCCAACTGAAAGGACTTCATCTGTTTAGTAGAGCGAGCTTTTGTTAGAGCTTTCTTTTGTCTGCTCCCACTAACGTTTCTGGGTTGCTGACTTCTTCAATTCCAATCCTAACATATACGAGGGAAAAGAAAACCCAAAGACCTCACCATTGTGTTATTTCTTGGACTCAGAGGTTCCTAACTGGTCTGCGTTCTTTCTCTATCTTTCAGAGGTTGTTTTGTATTGTTTTACATATAATGTCCAGGGCTTGGGTTGGACTTAGTGGTAGAAATAGGAAAAGTATGGCTACTACTACTGTCTTCCTAGGTCTGGAAGTTCCGGAAATACTTTTAACACAAACGAATAGCTCTTTTTCAAAAAACTACTAGCCTCACATCTGCTATTTCTCACTATCCGTCTGGTTAAAAAACAAACAAATCCATTGTCATTGAGTTAATTCTGAGTCATAATTACCATATGTGTTATAGCATAAAACGGCCACATAGGGTTTTTTAAGCTGTAATCTTTACAGAAGCAGATTACCAGGCATGTCTTCCACAGCACCATTCCCCCAAACCCAAACCTACTGCCACTGGGTCAATTTTGACTCCTAGTGAACTTTCATAGGGTTGCTGAAGCCTCTTTACACAAGAGAAAGCCTCATCGTTCTCCTAAGGAACAGCTGGTAGATTTGCACTTCCAATTTTGCTGTTAGCAGCCCAGTGCTTATCCTACAGTGCTACCAGAGCTCCTTACAACACCACTGGGTGGGTTCAAACTGCCAAACTTTAGGCTAGTAAGTAGTTAAGCACAAATCATTTGAACCACCCTGAGGCCCGGGATCTATCGAGTTGTTGTTTAATGCCATCCAGTTGGTTCTGACTCATAGTGACCCTGGATAGGGTTTCTGAGGAGCAGCTAAAGTATTTAAACCACTGACCTTGCGGTTCTCAGCCCGATTCGTAACCACTACACTACCAGAGCTCCTACTACGCTACCAGAGTGGTGGCTTAGTAATGATAATTCTGGTCATGTATTATTAGGATGGGTTTTTGTCACTGTAAACTGTAAATAAACATCATTTTTTAAAGGTTGTCCAAAGTCTTATTACACAAGAATTCCATACTTATTTAGCATTTCCTAATGTTAGACATTAAGGAGCTCTGGTAGCGTAGTGGTTACAAATTGGGCTGAGAACCGCAAGGTCAGCAGTTAGAAACTACCAGCTGTTCCGCGGGAGAAAGATGAGGCTTTCTGCTCTCATAAAGATTTACAGCCTCGGAAACCCTGTACAGGGTCGCTATGAGTTGGAACCGACTCCATGGAACATAACAACAACAGTGTTTGACGTTATGGAGTCCTGGTGTGGCACTGTAGGATCAGCACTGGACTGGGAACTACAAGGTCTGCAGTTCAAACCGACCAGCTGCTCCTTGGAACCCTATACAGGGTTGCTATGAATTGGAACCGACTCGACAGAACTTAACAACAATGTTAGACATTGGGTCCTGGTGTGCCACTATAGGATAAGCCCTGGACTGCAAGGTCAGTTTGAACCACAATATCAGCGGTTTAAACTCACCATCCTCTCCTCTGAAACCCTATACAATTTCCTTATGAGTCGGAACCTACTTGATGGCACTTAACAACAATAACAACAACAATGTTAGATATCTATGTAATCTTTAGTTTTTCAGTTTTATAAATAAGCCTCCAATCTTGGTGCTAAAGTCTCTATCTCCATGTAGAATTATTTCCTTAAATTCTGCTTCCTAGAGGTGAAATTATTAAATCAAGGGATAGAACCTTCCAGAAAGGTTACACCAACAAGAGAAAGGTGAGAGAGAGAGACCCATTTCTGACTGTTAAACTTTCTATTTTGTAGAAGCTTCAGATGGTGAAGAAGGAGGAGGAGACACCGAGATGGCACAGCAGGAGACAGCTCCAATTCCTGCCCTGTCCAAGAAAACCAAGCAGGTGACAGTCACTATGGGCGAGTCAGAGTTTTTGGGGTCTTTCACCCTCTGATTGCATGACATTGAGTCAATTCCAACTGAAAGAGATCCTATAGGGTAGAGTAACATTAGGCTGTAATCTTGATAGGAGCAAATCACCAAGTCTTTTCTCCCATGATAGGTTAGCAACCAAGCACTTACCCACTGGCCACCAGGGTTCCTTCTTTCACCTGTCTGCAGCAATAGATTTTTATTGTAATATATTCTGTAATATCTTAGATTCTTGTGTCACATTATCCTCTAACATCCAGGTATATATTCTTTGGGGTAAAGTCCTAAGGCGAGAAAGAGGATAAAGATATACAACATTATCCCTCGCAAAAACCAACGATCAGAGTACTCTGCCGTGCTGGCAATGGGCTCCTGCCACCCTCCACTTCCCTTTATGCCTGTCCTTCCTCATGGTGGTGGTGGTTATGTGCCGCGGAGTCGGTTCTTCCTCATAGTCTTATATTATTAAGGACTTTGTTGTATTCATACTTCCACTAATAGCCATTTGGATAAACTTTGGTTTTGGGACCTATGACCATTATTGCCTTTTGGATCTCCTTACTGGCCTTTGAAATTCTACTTGCCAACTCAACAGCACTTTGTTGTTGTTAGATGCCATAGAGTCAGTTCTAACTCACAGCAAACGTATGAACAACAGAATGAAACAGTACTCTGTCCTGTACCATCCTCACAATCATTGGCATGTTTGAGCCCATTGTTGCTGCCACTCTGTCAATCCATCTTGTTGTGGTCATCCTCTTTTGGACTGCCAAAAGAACCAATAGATCTATTTTGGAAGAAATGCAGCCAGAGTGCTCCTTGGAGGCCAGGATGGCTAAGCTTCGTCTCTCCTACTTTGGACACATTGTCCGGAGAGAACAGTCGCTGGAGAAGGATGTCATGCTGGGTAAGGTGGAGGGTCAGAGAAAAAGAGGAAGACACCCAATGAGATGGATCAGCCAGGTGGCATCATTGATGGTGTCAAGTGTGGCAGCGGTAGTGAGTTTGGCCCAGGATCGGACATTGTTTCTTCTGCTGTGCATGGGGTCGCTATGAGTCGGTTGGACTCGATGGCACCTGACAACAACAACAACATATTATTATAATTCAAATGCATTTATTCTCCTACAATCTCCCTTATTCACTGTCTAGCTTTCACATGCACATGAAGCAATTGAAAATACCATGGCTTTGGTTAGGTATCAAAGGAGCCCTGGTGGTACTGTTGGGTAAGTATTGGGCTGCTAACCACAAGATCAGTGGTTCAAAATCGCCAGCCATTCCATGGGAGAAATATGAGGCTGTCCGAGCCCGTAAAGATTGCAGGCTTGAAAACCCTGTGTAAGGTCACTAAGAATCAGAGTTTGAGTTTGGTTTGGTATCCACTGGTAGCACAGTAGATAAAGCACTCCACTGCTAACCAAAAGGTTGACAGCTCAAACCCATCAGCCGCTTCTTGAGAGACAGATGTGACAGTCTGTTTCTGTAGATTTATAGCCTTGGAAACCCTATGGGGCAGTTCTACTCTGTCCTATGAGACCATTGATTCAGAATTGATTTGACAGCAGTGTGCTTTCTTAGTACCAGGTACCAGGCACACCACAACTCACAATCTTCACAGCATGTGCGTGTATGAGGTGGTACAGCAATTTTACAAAGGACATGAGGCTCAGCGAGGTGGTGGCTGTGAACCAGGCTGCTGAAGAGTGCTGTGGTTTCCACTTCCCTTTTCACCTGTCGTTCCTCTCTCAACTTAGGAAAATTGAATTCAACATGCCCTCATGTGCTTTGTTGGGCACAAGCTATCACTGTTTTCCACTGAGGGAAAAAATGCAAGAGCTTAATATTTTACTGCCCATTTTAACCACCTTCCTCTTGTTCTAACTTTCAGGATTTGAGAGTCCAAGTCCTAGCCACACAAAAATGTCCCTGCCCCATTCGCTAAGCCTAACCTCCTTCTATTGGACAGAGGGGATTCTCTTTTTCTGAACTTCCAAAGGCTGCCTCATGAGTATTATACATCTAGATCCCATCTTCCCTGCCAGGCTATCATACATTGAGGACAAAGTTTTATCTGTACATCTCCACAGAACCTTGTCTCTAATTGGCACTGATTATTTGTGAAATGAAGACATGAATGACTATACCAATTCCCCCACCACTCAGCCCTTTGTCTCCAAGCTTGTCAGTCATCAGCTCCCTGGTACTGGGCCTGAGGTGTTCTCTCAAGACCAGTGTTTTTCCTGCCTTCTCCAGCCCCATCCCTGATGGTCCCTGCAGTTCCTTCCTTGAAAGGCAGTTCAGGATTCAGGTGTCTCCTTGTTACTTTGTGGGCTCTGCCTCCTGCTGTTCTTCTCACCTGGAATTCATCTCAGCCCCCCCCCCCCCCCCAAGGAGGACCTTCTTGTCAAGCACTATCCATTTTTGAGACTTTCTCTAGCTATTTGTGTGTGTTGAGCTTGTGTTTCCCTCTGGTTTCATAAGCATCTCAGGGCCAGGATTTGTCTTCACTACAGTCCCTAATGTAGTGGTTACAAATCGGACTGCGAACCGCAAGTTCAGCAGTTCGAAACTACCAGCTGTTCCGCGGGAGAAAGATGAGGTGATCTGCTCCCATAAAGATTAACAGCCTCAGAAACGCTGTGCAGCTCGCTATAAGTCGGAACCGACTCCACGGCACATAACAACAACAACAACAGTCCCTAAAGAAGCCCTGGTGGCTCAGTGGTTAAGCGCTCAGCTGCTAACTGAAAGGTCTGCAGTTTGAACCCACTGACTGCTCCAAGGGGGAAAGATGTGGCAGTTTGTTGCCATAAAAATTTACACCCTTGGGAGCCCTATGGGGCGGTTCTGTTCTGTTATATAAGGGCTGCTATAAGTCAGAATGTACTCGACAGCAGTGGTTTGAGTTTGGGTTTTTCAGGACAGTCTTTTTTGTTGTTGTTAAGTGCCATTGAATTGGTTCCGACCCACAGAGACCCTATGTCGGGTGTCTGAGGAGCAGCTGGTAAGCTTGAACCATCGACGTCATGGTTCAAACCGACTTTGCAGTCCAGCACATTAACCCACAGCGCCACACCAGGACTCCAAATGGCAACAGGGTTAACACAATGTTACTTGGCAGTAATGACTAGATATTTGATTTTTTTTAAAGTAGTTCATTTTTTTCTTGGATAAAAAGAAGAAAGAAGGAAACTTATTTCATGCTAGTTTACATTTTTTAGAGTTTTTCAGGTTTACCTCATTCACCTTGCTGTTTTTAAGTACTTCTTTATGGTTCTACAGGAACTGCCTGGCTGTACACTCCCAGTTAGAATATATTTAGGCTCTAATATCAACTCTAAAGTTCAAAGTTCTGCCGAGACACATGGTGGACCCCTTTGCCACAGCTGGGCCTCACATTTGTATCACTAAGTCCAGGCCTCTGATCTGTCCAGTATTTCGAGCAGTAGATTTATAACTTTGTAACTTTTTTTTTTAATTTAAATCCATCCAACTACATCATCTCTAGCAACCATTTCACATCTAAATAATCATCCTTGGCCTGCTTAATAATATGAATATAAAGATTTGCCAACTTTTTTTTTTTCCAGATATCACTTCCAAAATAAATGATGAATTCCCTACTCCTTGAGAGATTGCGTCACCCTTTCCCTTCTCAGCACCAGCCATCTCAGAGCCAGCCCTAGTAACTTTGTAATTATGGTTCCCAGAATAAAACCTCTTGCAAGGCATTTCATGACTTTCTATAGCTGCCTCTCTGATGTCAGTAGCCTTTCCTTGGTCCTATGACCCATCCTTTCCCCTCAGACATCACAGTGGGCTTCTTTTTCCTTCAGCTAGCCATGTGTTTATCTTCTTGGATCATAAAGGAATCTTCAGCTATAATACTTATCCCTTTCCCTCCTTATTTACTTACAGTTGTGTCTTCCTGCCTCTGCCTTATTTCAGTATTAATTGTTTCATATCTCAAGTCTTCCTGCCACTCCTGCTCTTCAAGTTTATTCTTGACTGTTGCCAAGAGAAAGTAAAACTGTCTGATTCACCTTCTTCCTTCCCAAGCTGATCTCTCAACTCTCTGTTAATTGATTTAACTCTTTGTATTGATCTATTGTTGCATAATGTTGTTACTGTTAAGTGTAGTTGAATGGGTTCTCACTCAAAGTGACCCTTTCTGAGGAGCAGCTGATGTTCTTGAACTGCCAACTTTGTGATTCACAGTCCAGTGCTCATCTTATAGTGCCACACCAGAAGTCCAGGTGCATAATAAATAAGCAGCTTAGAAACTTACTATCTCAGAGTTCCTGTTTTCTTACAGTTGTGACTTAGGTTGGTGCCTTTGTCTCTAAATGCCTCATCAAGCAGAAATTAAATCATGTACTGAAGTTGGGGAACTAAACTGGAGAGACTCACCCATATGAGCACCTCCTCAGGGTTGTCTCACAACATGGCAGCTGGCTTCTCCCTGGCTCAGTAATCCAAGAAAGAGCAAAGCCAGAGTGCCCAAGACAAAGCCATAGTCTATTTATAACCTAATACCAGAAATGATAGCTCCTCATTTTTACCATATTTTTTGGCATGGTTTGTTGTTGTGAAGTGTCGTCGAGTCGATTCCGACCCATAGCAACCCTATATACGGTTTCCAAGGAGTAGCCAGTGAGCTTGAACCGCCAACCTTGTAGTTCAAACGATTTTGCAGTCTGGCACATTAACCCACAGTAAATCATTAAATCCAGTTCAGACTCAAGGGAAAGGAATTGCACAAGAGTATCAATACTAGGAGATATGGCTCACTAGAGACTATCTTAGAATCTGACTACCATAGTCCCCCCTCTGACATGTGCAGAATACATCACCCATGTCTCAAACTCCCAAGGCTGCAAAACTCTTCTTATATAGTATCAACTCAGTGTCCAAAATCTCATCATCTAAATGAAGTCCAGATGCAACTGAGGCTCCTCAGGTTTAGTT